TGACTTCATTTTGTTTTTTTTTTTTTGTATGTCCAACTAATTCAACAAAGTTTGCAAACTTAAAATCTCTATAGCAACTCAATTACATGGAAATGCTTAAAAGTTTACTCTTTAAGTCATCCTTTTGGCTGATACGTCCAGCTTCTTGTTATAAAACCTTGAGTTCGAAAACCTTGAGTTCGAAGCATTCCACTACCACAAATACCTCAATTTTCTTCAAGGTATGTCTCCTCTTACTCACATTTCAAAATCTTGTGTGCGCTCATCAAAACCAGAAAATTGCAGCCATAAACCCATCCTTATCAAACCCAAGACAGTCCTACTTCATTCTAGGTTCAAGAGTTCAATCCTATAATCTAAACCAGCCAGTAAAACCACCAAATAAACGATAACCAGCATGATTCCAAGCCTATAACTCCAAATCCTTTGTTCCTCTTTGTGAAGCTATCACAAATTAGTGACATTTGTTATGTCTTAGAAGAATATGCAGACTCGATACCTGATTTGTTTTGCTCGTTCTTCTCCTCAAAGCTTTTGTACTTGCTTCTCTAATGATGAAATGTTGATTTCAACTCTGTAATTTCGGCAATCACTTGGTGTGCATTACAGAACAGACCCAAACCCATGTTTTAAACCAACTTGGGGATAACATCGATCCAACTCTGATATCTTCGTTTACTGCTGCAAGCACCGTGGTTCTCTTATGTCTTTATCGCCGATGCTTAGTTGTAGAAGATGCCAAGAAAAGAAGACCAGCAGATCGAATGTGCTTGATAAGAAGAGGAAGAAACGTAAGCAAGCGTATGCTGAGACGACAAAAAGCTTCTCATCTGTCTCTAGAGTTATCGTCTTCATCATTTTTGAGCTGTTAAGATAAAATAGGCTACTTTAAATCCCAAACATCTCTCACCCATTTAAAGCAAAGTTCACGCCTACCCACAAAAAAAAGTACATAGTTGTTTAAAACCCATTAATGGCAGTTCAAACAATCGATTGCTTGTTCTCTTCGACACCATCAATGTATAACTCTCATCCACACCCACTTGAAGATGAAACTGATTGGATTTACGTTTTTGGTGGGAAAATTGCGTATTCTCGTTTGTGGTTAAAACTGTGAATATTTTTTTGGCGGAAAATGCATGGATTTACGTTTTTAACGGGAAATTGCACATTCTCGTTTTTGGTTAAAAATTGTGAGTTTTTACGAAGAATTGCGGATTTACGTTCTGGTGGAAAAATCATGAATTTACGTTTTTAGCGAGAAAATTGTGTATTCACATGTTTGGCGGGAAAACTAAAGATTATATTCAATCGGTTTAGAAGTTTTAGTTAGACTCAAATTGATATTGGTTTAGAGATTTGAATTATTTTGATTCAATTTAACAAAAATTGATGGGTTAAATGGCTAAACCATTGAAACATTAGACCCATTACAATCCAACTCATTTTATCCATCAACTGTTTTGATCCAATAACTAATTTGATCCATCAACTCATTTGAATCAAAATTTTCTACTCATTAGAGTTTATGGATTGAGTTGAGTTGAGTTGATTCATGAATTTTGACCCATTTTGACACCTCATTTGGTTAGAAAGACATTTTCCTCTAAAGAAAGAACAGATGGCTATTACTTGAGAACTGAATCTCACTTAGCTAAAACTAGATTAGAAAAACATGGTCAAATGATGTGCCGTGAAATATACCCAAAAACAAATTATATTCCCATTCAATGCGTCTTTTGGGTGCCCAAGTGAGAGCAAAACCTATTTCTCAAAAACCCTAGCAAAATTGTATCTCTCTCTCACTGTTTACCCTCCTTTTCAGTCTGTCGGGAACTCTCTCACCGTCACCGCCATATCAAATATCACCCCACGTTAACGTTCGTGTTCATTGATCTCGTTCTCTATACCAAGCGTTGTGTCTATTTTCTCAATCGAAAGCACTCTATACAAATGTGACGTTTTCTATACTTGATTCTCCGTCGTCTCTGCAAATCGCCTCATGCATCTGCTATTTCAAACCTAAATCTTGGTACAAAATTCTTTTCTGTTCGGATTGCTAATTTGCTTATCTAGCACACATATAGATCTCTATTTTTTAAACTGATCTTGTGTTTATCCGATAGATGCACATATATATCTCTACTTTTTTCATAGAGACATCCATATTTTCACGTGCATGTTATCTAAATCGAGACATGTCACATTTATATGCTATTTCAATGTGCTAAAACTCTTTTTTTTGTTCAGATTTCTAATACCGATTACTATTTTTAAGGTAGTCTTGAATATATGAGTTAAATTAAAACTAATCCTAAGAGTTAACATTAAGAGTAAGAGCCTATCAATGAGGATGTTCTTATATATAATATGGGACCTATGTTGCTCTACCTTAGCAGGTGGGGTTGATAGGTATGTACAACGAAAATTAAATAAATGAACATTTGACTGCAATTTTAGTCGTCTACACCAAAATGGGTGTTGAATTATATATACAAAGATATACAGAGATGAATTTGGTTTATAAGAAGAGCTAAATTGTAGCCTTGTTTTAAAAACATAAAAAGTTTACTGTACCATCGTTACTGCCACAACCCACAACCTTTTCGGCCACCACTATCATAAACTAACCCCAAGATTATCCTTAACCCGCCACCGCCATCTTCACCATCACCACTGCCGTCACTAGACACTAGTTGCAGAAACCAAAAATCATTTTTTTGGTTATTTATTTATTATTCCAAGTGGTTGTATATAATTACTAGATTTTAATCCGCGGTACACCGCGGGATGATTTAATTTTAAAGTTAGTATAAAAATATTTTGTAAATTATATCTCCTTATAACATATTTATTTATATTATAGTTTACAATTGTTATTAAAAAACGGTATACCACGAGTCCACGAGATAATTATTAATAAACTGAGGATTTAACCCGTATTAAAGCGGTATATAAATATTGATTCAAATTCTTCCGCCATATGAATCCTTTCCGAAATATAACTCGTTCCATAATTTTTTAACCCGTCCCGTGATTTGTTTTTATTTTAAAATTTAATGATTATTTATTATATATATACAAATCATATCATTCTCTAAGACATTTATATTTTAATAAACTGAAGATTTAATATGTATTAAAGCGGCATGTTAATGATATTTAAAATTTTATAAATATTGTTATTAAGTAACATTATACCACGAGACAATTTTTGGTTTTATACAATCTTTTCTATATGAGACTGATTTAATATGTCTAATATTGGGGGTATTAGAAAAAATATAAGGATTTAATCCGTATTGAAGCGGCGGATTAATGATATTTTAATCTTTTTATTATTGTTGATTCAAAACCCTTCCCGCCAAACCCGTCCGGCCAAAAAACTCATTTATTTTATTAATGTTGATCTTATTTATGATATGATTCTGAATCATTGTCTAAATATTTTAATCGACGTAGAATGTTGAACACACATTTTCGTCAATTAGATAATATATGTCCGTTTTTAAAATTTCGAATCACAGTATATGCAGAAAAAAAATTGATTTTCTTTTTAATTTATGTATGATATGATGATTCAAAACAGTTAAAAACAAATCAAACAAAGATGATAGGAGAATCATAATTCTAAATTTTAATCAAGTCTTCTAAATATCTAAATTATTAAATATGGAATATCCGGTGTATGAGTTGGGTTAAATATAACCCAACTCAGAAGCATTTTTACCCACCCGTCACCAAAATGTTGCAAAAATACTAGTATAGACTAGATAACAACCCGCACGATGTGCGGGATCAAGTGATTCAAGTAAAATTATTATGATTAAAATTATTATGATTAAAATTATTATCCGGGATCCAAGATCCGTTTGTATAAAACGAAACATGTTACAATTTTTTATTACTATGTTACTACTATGTGACCAATTCAGTAGCATAATTTGTCTTACTGTGCCACGCACTTTGGGCCAGAAGTCATGGGTTCGACCTTTAACGCACACAAAAAGTTTTTATTTATGTTAGTACTAATAACAATGTTAACGACTTAACGTCGTCACGGTCAAATTGATGACTTTCGGACTTATGGAGGTTTACTTTGCAATGTTTTTTCTTTTATTTTGAAGTTTATCTATATATTTTTTTTGTATTCTTTCCTTTTATTTCTTTAATTAACTCTAATAGAAAGAAATCTCGAAAGTAAAAACCATCTATAAAGGGAGTCAACATACACACTCCCATTAAAGAAAAATATCTTTTTTAGATTTAATTTTCTATTTTTTCCTTTCTCAAAATTTTATACAATAATGAATTTAATTTTCTGTATATTTTTTGTTATATATAATATTTAAAATATGATATCTTAATTATTTTTAAGACATAGTTATCTGTTATATATAATTAGCTCGAAATACTTTAAATATTAATTATTTGGTGATTTATTTCTAACGTAAAAAATTAGTCATAAATAGTTGGTGAGATAGCCGTTAGATATATCTGGCACGAAATAACTTCAAATATTTGTTATTTGTTGATGTTTCTTACATAACTATTAAAAATAACTAAACGGGCAATAGTCGTTAGATACATTGGCACGTAAAATTTTAAAAAACCGTTAAATATTGAATTTTGTTAGGTATCTATGATTGGCAACTTATTCAGTGGAAATTTATAAAACATATTATTTAGCTAGTTTTTGTAAAATATTGGATAGAAAACATAAGGAGATTGTAAAGTTTTATAGAAGAGAGTCAAAGGAGAAGTCTTAAGTCTTAACAATCTTACTAGAAGAAAAAAAATATTTAAGAAATTACTTAAACTATTAAAAGTGTTGATAAGATAAAAATAAAAAGTAAAATATTGGGATTCCATCAACCACTACTTGCCTGTCTATATAAATAGGGCTCTTCCAGTGTCAAGTTTCAGCCACCAATTTCTTTTCGTTCTTTCAAAGATTTTGAGAATTTTTTTTTCTTTAAATAAGATTAGACAATCGCCATGAGTTTAGAGAGTGATATCAAAGGCAAACAAGTCGTTTCTGCTGACGATTGTGTGGTTTGTTTAGAGCCATTGACTAATGATGCTAATGAACGAACTGTGGTTAACCTTCGATGTAGCCATAGGTTTCATTTGGGTGAGCACTAAATAATATTTTTATTCATTTTGAGAAAAATAGATTCAATTTTATTTTATTTGTTTCTGTTGATTTATGTCCCTTTTCGATTTGCTTAGAGATTCTTACTATTACATGTTTCCTACAGATTGTTTGGGTTCACACTTCAATACAAAGAAGAGGATGGAATGTCCATGTTGTAGACGGATCGAAAAAGGTCATTGGTTGTTGGCAAAGCCTGTAGATCCACACCCTCCATTTCCGTATATCGATAATACGCGTTTTCATCTTGACATAAGAGATTATATGTTTCAAATGGTAACAGATTTAGACCTAAATTGTTTTCCAATTTTCTGATATTATATGTGGCTTGGAATTGATATTATTCGATGAGTACTTAACATATGAGATTGATGATTTATTGTTAATTCAGTCAACTAGGGTGGGGAGTGACAGTACTCTGCTGCCTCCTATTTCTACTACGTTACCTCCATATGTTCTGAACCAAGTCACTAACAATCGCAGCATGAGGATTCACCACTGGGGTGACACTTCGTTGGACAGAAGGATGCAGCGTCATGAGAGAAACGAACGTACTGTTGATAGAGAACGTCGTTTCCACAACATGATGTATGAACGTCATGGCAGGACCGGAGGAAGTGGTTATGGCGGTGAAAGAAGCGGCAGGGAAGCGGTGGCGGAGGAAGTTGAGGCGGGGGAAGCAGCAGAAGGGGCGGAAGTGACGGAAGAGTAGTTGTGGTGGTGATAAAAGAGAAGTTGTGTCTCGAAAATAATATGGTTTATGTCATTCAGTTTTTTTTTTTTGCTTTTTTTTTTTAATTATCAAACTCTTAAATTTCATGTTTTTTTTTTTGTTTTTTTTTGTTTTGGGGAACTTGGCAATGAATTTATTTGGTGGATCATAAAGTTTTATTGTTTCTTTTTGTTTTATATATAATATTAAACTAACTCAAGTGCTTATAAAATTAAAGGAAAATGCATAAATTTTAGGTGTAAAGAAAAACAAAACATGCTTCAAGATTTTCACTATCACTTTACCTAGCAACAAAAACTACATCATAGATAATTCTAGTTTTTGTGAACAAAAAAAAACATTCTAGTTTATAAAGAAGTAAAAGGAAAAAAATAAAATTGGGTTTTCTTTCAAACGCAACGTGAAGAAATAATCACGAATATTTCAAAATACTTTGATCGGAAAGTAGTTTATCATGAAAAAAAAAAAGAAGATAGTAAACATTTAATTCATAATAGATAGAAAGAAAATGAGATAAATGGGTTTCCATAAAGCTGACAAATAAAACTAGAAACAAACTTCAAAAAGGAAAGAAATCTTTTGAAAATTTTCAATTTGTAAATTTGATGTTGACTCAAATTGAAGTCCTAATAATTAATCAAAAAATTATGACTAAAACTTTATCAACTGGGCTTTGGTATTGGACCGGATCACCAGTTATTGGTCGGTTTAAAATTTATTCAGTTTCCAGTCGGACTGGTCTTGTGCTTTCGATTTCCCCTAGTCCTTTCGATTATCTCTTACATCAATGGTGGAATCAAAGGAAAAAATAGCAGAAATCAGAGTAGTGACCATATAACAAAAGCTTTGTAATCGTGAAATAGTCGTGTAATCTTCCTTTAGCCATGATAAGTTATGGTATGTATGTTAAAAAAGTTCTCAACAGAGAAAGCAAGAGACCCTTAAAATTTTTGTCGAGTCAAGCTCCATTGATAAGTGCACTTATCATTCTTCAAAAGGCATAATGACTCCATTTCTAGCACTCTATATGGTAGCTGGTACAACACATGTTCAAGAACTTGACTAGCAGCATGCTGTGCCGGGCGAGATTATGGCTGAGTTAACGAAACATTTTCAGGCAGCCAACTAACGGATGAAACAAAGAGCGGACACTTAGTGCAGAGACATCTCTCTTGATGTTGGCAATTAGGTATTTTTCAAGCTGCAACCTTATGGTTCGCATACAATCTTTCATGTACGTCCATGAAGCTATTCACAAGATTTTTTGTCCCTTTCAGACTGAAGCTCGAGTGGGTTCGGTGGCTTATCGCTTAGTACTCGCTCAATTACATGAGTCCACTTTGTTGTTAATGGAAGATCGATGAGATCGACCATATATATTGTTATTATGGAATTCATGAAAATCAAGAACAAACTAAAAAATTATTGATATTTATCAATATTTAAGTTAACGAAATTTAGCATTATTTCTAAGTATATCATTTACAATTTAGTTTATATTAATTTCGAAGGAAGAACATCGAACCGACCAAATTTCTAAACCGGAAATACATGAAGTAAACGACTTATGTTTTGCTTTTCTTTAGTTTAAATCCTAGTATTTTCTTCATATTTCCCTTGGTTGTAGGAGTTATGAATCCCCTTTGCTTCTTCTTTTGCCTATTTAAAGAAATGGAGAAGACAAAAATAAGCAATCTTAATTGCCAAACCAAGTGTTATTCTGTTCTTGTTCTAGTTCTAAAGTTTTGGTTAAGATCAAATCTAACACTAGATTGGGACCATAAATGAAACTGAGAAGAAATTTTCAAAACATCAACATGAGTTTCAAAGAAGAAGAGACACCGCAAAAAAAAACATTTCTTCCTAAAAATCCATGAATCGTGGTTCTTTGCTCATTCACTTACGTAGTTACGTTTGATTTTTTATTTTTTTTTGAATAAATCCTTAACTTAAAGTATTCCTCTTACATTACACACACACACTTCATCACATACTACTTATAGGCTCATAGCATTAGAAACTAGTTACCAAACCAAAAGCTGAAAAGACAGAAAACCAAACTCCAAAAATACTTAACAAAATGGAATCACCAAGTTATGGAAATAGGGCTTCCTTGGGCCATAAGCAGCAGTAGCAGCAACAACACCCAAGTTCCCACCATTTCCATCCACAACATCCATGTTCCAAAACCCATCCCATATCGCATTGTCTTCGCTCATAGTATTAGCGTCAGGTATGTTTACCGGAGTAAACCTCCCTTGTAACTGCTCCTCCAACGAATTAGGGTTATATCCAAAGGGTTTTGAAGAATGTGTTATTTGATAAGGAGAATAGAACACATCACCACCGCCATCGCTGCTGCTACTGCTATTGTTATCTTCGAGTAAAGAGATGATCTTTTTCATATCGAGTTGGTCGAACTGAAACAACTGTTGTTCTTGTTGCAACTCTATTTCTCTCTGTTCCTTGAATTGTTGCCTTTTTAGGAGACGACTCTTTATCTTCTCCGCATTGTTAGTCGTAGGCTTTGCCTTTTTCTTGAAATGGGTTCTCCAATAGTTCTTGATCTCATTGTCTGTTCTTCCTGGTAAACTACGTGCAATTGAAGACCACCTATACAAAACCCTAATACTTAAGATAAAAGCCATCGACAAACCTAAAAAAAAAGAAAAAGATTTGAGGTATTTTGACCTATTTCCCCACTTAGCGTGTAGCTCAAGTATTATATTTTCTTCATGAGGAGTGATCTGTCCTCTCTTGAGATCTGGTCTAAGGTAATTAACCCATCTTAGTCTGCAGCTTTTGCCATTCCTTTTCAGTCCTAGTGATCAAAACATTCATGAATCATTAATCAATCATTACTTTGAAAAAAACCATATTAAAACATGCAAACACAAAAGTGGTTGTACCTGCGAGTTTAGAGACAGAGTTCCATCGACCTTCACCGTGAACACGGACGTATTCGATCAAGAGACGGTCTTCCTCGGCGGTCCATGGACCTTTTCTCCAAACTTCTTCCACCATTCCCCATCCTCCTCCCTTCACTCCCCACCAACTCATTCTTCTTCTTCTTCTTCTTCTGCTTTTGATTTGAGGAAAGTAGATTTGTTTTCTCTATTATATCTACCGATCTCTTTTGCTCTTTGGCCTTGTCTTGTTATGGAAGCTCTGTGTTGCTCTGCTTTGATGTCTTATGTTCTTATATATGCACTGACTAAGCCTTCTTGGGTCCACCACTTTTCTCCCTCTATCTTTTTTTTTTTGTTTTTATGTTAAGAGAGATGGTGAGGGAGATCAAAAGAAAATGATATTATCTTTTTATGAAAATATTATTCTTATTTGATATATATAGATAGATATTGTGTATGTTTTTTAAGCATCTCGTATCAAAAGAAACCAACTTCAAGGATGAAAAACCTATAACATATTTAAGGGCGTATAGTCTATGTAGGTAAACGAGACTACGAGATCATATCAATATTAGTCCGTGAACACATATAACGACAGAAGACAAAAATGAAAACATAAAATTGTGAATTATGTCTACTTTATTCTTATACAGAAATTTATATGTTTGATTATCTTGTATTTATATAACAAATAAGTAGATAATATTTTCTGTCATACTCTTAGAAATAAGAAAATGTGTTGTGTCATATGAATATAAGTTTAAAATGCAAAAGGGTCTCATTGGTTTCTAAAAAGGGTATTATAGGGGTTAAAGAATGAATGTTAAGGCATTGGGTAACAAACTTCTAAAGCATCAAATCGAATACTCACTCTTTTTATGCGAAAGTGAGATCCACAAAAAAGTTGAACTTAGAAATGTGACACGTACACTATCTATGGGTTTATACTTTATAGAGGCCTATATTTCTATGCAGCCCCCTTGATTATAATGGTTAAGAACATAATAAAAAATTAACAACAATTGATGGTGGTGGAGTAAAACATAACTAGACCACTAATATATGTCCAAGTGTTAAGGAAATTTAGACATGCGATCTCACACTGAAGTCTTTTTTTTTTTAGTTTATGTTCGTTGGGTTCCACGTCAGGACTTATAGCAATAAATTATGCAATTATTATTTGAAACAATTTACGGCCTTTTAACGTCACCACAAGACAGGTGGCCTACATCAATCATATTGCCACTGGATATTTGTTAGATTGTAGCACTATTATCACTAACTAGGCGAGTATCAAAACGCGGGGTTTTCACTAAATAGTCGATAAGAGACAATATCGACTATTTTTCGGGGATAAACATATCCTTTGACACGAGTTATCTTTATCAAAGTCCCAAAGTTCAAGTTTTATAGTACGGGTTTTTGTTTCTACTAAAAACTTTTCATGTTTTTCTTAAATATTATCATCAAAAGTTTGATGATATCATAAACATTGTTATTACTCAACATTGTCTAAAATACCATTTTTTGGGAAAAACTTACGAAAATGCCATTTTTTGAATAGTTTACGGATTTTGCCATTTTTTAACACTTAAAAATGTACGTATTTTGTGATTTTTTTTTGCAAAAATACGTACTTTATACCAAATACTAAACCCTAAGAACAAATGGAACCGACTAAACCCAAACATAACGAATGAAACACAAAATAAATCATATTTTTGGAGCCTGAAAAAGGGCAAAATCCACAAACTATTCAAAAAATGGCAAAATCCACAAATGCCACTATGAAAAAAGGCAAAATCCGTAATTAATTCTTACTCAACATATAAGATCTTTCAATTGTCACCAAACGTTTAAATTTTGGAGTACGTGTATTTGATGACAAGAAAATGAAAGAAATAAGACATTCGGTTTTACGATCTTATCCTAATTAATTCTCCTACCAATAGGCGAATCTATCTGCGTCATCCGTTTTATGTTATAATTTCTATTTAAGTTTGGATACAATTTTGAAAGTAAAACAAATGAATAACAATGGTCGTGATTAGGTAAGATTAGACATAATTAGTGACGCTCTCTTATTTTATTTGTAGTGCAAAACCTAAACATCTTGAACTGCAAAACTTTGACCGATCCTTAGAGCTGAACTGTAACTTTCATGCCTGGTTTAAAGCCAATATAAGTTTTCACTTTTATTATCACTTCTTTACACTTTTTTCTAATCTCCATTATATTATTGAACAGCTAATAAGCGTGTATATTACCCACCAAAAGATTACAATGATTTGCATAAACCATATATGTGGTTGGCTGGAACATATCCATAGCCTTTTCTTGTAGGTTGACCTTGACTACATTTGCTAATTTTTCTCTCTTTAGCAACACCAAAACAAGGTTTAGCTAGATGCAACGTAATAGCACTACAAGAAAACAGCCGTAAACCGACGGCCATATCCGTCAGGGAACCGTCGGGAAGAGCTCTTTCCGACGGATTACGGAGAGGTGAAGTTCGTCGGTTCTAGAGCGTCGGGAACACAAATCCGTCGGGAATTCGTCGGTGTTTCCCGACGGCTTTCTAAGGGTCATAGACCGTCGGTAAATTCCGTCACGAAGTCATCGGAATATAACCGACGGGTATTCCGACATTAAACCGACGAATTATTCCTGAGGCTTTCCCGACGGCTTTCTAAGGGTCATAGACCGTCGGTAAATTCCGTCACGAAGTCATCGGAATATAACCGACGGGTATTCCGACATGAAACCGACGTATTATTCCTGAGGCTTTCCCGACGGATCTATTACCGACGGGGTCTCCGATGGATTGACGATGCAGACTAACGATTAAAAAATGTCTTTCACAAAATCTGCTATCGCATCCACACAATCCTCAGCCAAATTGTAGTCTGTCTTTATCGTCATCAATCTACTTGCAGATGATAAAGGCGAATGACCATCTCTACAGCCTTTGTATAGAGGTTGTTTAGCTGCGTCTAACATTCCGAAAAACCTTTGGGCTTCTAAGTTAGGTTCCTCTATTCTATCTTCATTTGCACCAGTCGACTGTATATTTTCTCTATATGCATCATTAACCATCTGAACCGTACCTACACCAAAATCTACTTCCGTTCTACGTTCTTCTACGTTATCCACAATATATGGTTCGCTAGTACTAGCATAATCCGGTCGTTCTCCATGAAGAAACCAAATCTTATAACCCGTCATAAACCCATTGCAATACAAGTGATTCCAAACTAAATCAATCCTAATATTATGGGCATTCCCGCAAAGAGAACATGGACATTTCAACTTACGGGTTTTCTTTGCTTCTGGTTGTTGACAAGCTAAGTCCATGAACTCACATACCCCTTGAGCGTATTCGTCTCTTAATAAGTTTGACTCTGGATCCATCATTGGTTCGTCCATCCACGATCTAAAATAAGACATATCTTTTTTTGTTTCGTTATTTTCTTTTAGAGAATAGAAGAATGGTGTTAGAATGAGTGTGTTGTTGAGAATGAGTGGGTATGCATATTTATAAAAAAAAAATTCTAACGGCGTCCGTCGGATATCCGTCGATATTCCGTCACGAATATAGGTAACGAATATATTCCCGACGGATATAGGTAACAGATATATTCCCGACGGATATAGGTAACGGATATATTCCGTCACGGATATAGGTAACAGATATATTCCGTCACGGATATAGGTAACGGATATATTCCGTCGGTATTCTGTCGGAAATTAAAATATTCAAACGGTTATGGTAACGGTAACAATAACTGACGAATTCGCGACAGATATTACTAACGGACATATGCCGTCAAAACGCCGTCGGGTTCTCGTTACATATTTCCGACGGATGTAACGCCGTCAGAAATTACTGACGGATTACGGACGAGTCTCGATGACTTGAATTCCGTCGGTAATTACTCGGTAATATCCGACGGATTGTTGTCTGTCAGAAATACCGTCAGGAGTTCATGTGTTTTCTTGTAGTGTAGGGACAAGAGACTTTTATGAAAACATAATTTTAAAGCTTGAAGTTAATTTTGGACTAATCTTATGCACATCGTAATTACTAATTATGATTGTGGCGTACTAGTGTTACTATTCTAACCAAATTTAGATTTCATAGGTTTGATATTTTTCATTGATGAATACAATAAAAACAACAGAGCATAACCACGTGGTTATGACCAAATATTTCTTGATCTTTTTCATTGATATTTTTTTATCAACTCAACTTGATATTTCCTTGATCTCTTGCTACTTCATATGAAAAGTTTATTGAACCATATATATAGTATGTGAGATATTACACCAAACCTAGCTAAGAAATCTATTTCTAACTTAAAATTAAAAAAAAAACGTCATCTAATGGCATGGAAAAATCAGTTCATTCCTCTAGATGCTTTGTTATCTTAAAGATTTTGGAGCCATCGGTCTCAAAATGGAACAGTCCAAGTGTCTTGACTAGAACAGAAACCATTGCCCAAAGAAGACTAAGACTGCCACATTATTTAGTATTTTTCCTTTTAAGAAAAAAGAAAAGAAACTTTGAAGATGCACATTTGTCGTTTCTTATTCGAGACATGGTTTAGCTTTTACTTATCTCCATAACACAAAGATATACATGAATAAAGAATCATAAAAGGAATATATATTCTTTTACAATGAAATAAACTATTTGATCAAACATATAATATTTCTTCAAGACGCTTTCAGCTAAAAGAATAAATTTTAATGTAGGAAACCAAGAATAATATGTGATTACGAGTCAAAATAAAACAAGAATCAGATACCATTGTAGATCACATATTCCGGTTATTTATACATTAGTTTCATGCATTGGATTTGTAGTTAATTAAGTCTATTAAAGTATGGTAGTTTCAAAAACTATATATAAATATATTCTTATTTTGTCATCAATGCACATTTTTTGTGGTTATAATAAGTTGTTTGGAAAAAATATGAACTCGTTATATATATATAAAGCTTAAGAATATAATTTGGTGAATCTGGTGATCTTTTTTACCGATCAAATTGGTTTTTTTAATATTTTAAAGAAACGAACTCGCTATGAAACAAAAGAAAAATTGCTATATAAAACGAAACATGTAATGCACGTAAAACAAACATAGGTACATATCTAGATGTAGGCATGTAGCCCGTTTGCATTCACATTAATTAAGCTAATGGTTCATGAATATATACCTCTTTTGGCCTAAGTAAAAATGGTTTCTCTCTAAGTGGAAGTAATAATATATATAGTAAATATAGACCTAACTTAGATACCAATTGCTGAATATGTTCCACACATTTCGTTTTCAGAACCTTTTTTCACCACTTCTTCTGTTATGCATGTATATCTCTGTTGGGCTGTAGACCAAATTCAAAAAGACACATGATTAATGATATAATAACATTAATTATTTGTTACTGGTTTCCTTCTTTACACAACCTTCAAGATAATGATTATCATTACGAATATCACAAGTTGGTCGAGTTAAACGCATAATCATCAAAAATGTATTTTAGTAAATCCATCTTAGATACGGATAACGTCGTTTAAAGAATTTTTTATTATGTGATGTTGTAAATATACCGGAAAGGAGTATGCTAATACTGTGAGTATGTGTTAGGTCACGTTCCATGCTAATACTATGATCTTTTTATGTAAAAGAGATAAATTCAATGAAATATATGTTTTTTTTTAATTTGTGTGTAAAAATTTTAAAGATCATTTAAAATGATACAAAGAGAGTAAAAAACTAGATGGACTAACGACCTTGTTGATGTTGATGATGTCAGTTTCTTTCTCGCCAAACTTTGTAGATGGTGTCTTGGAACATAAGACATAATTGGACAGTGTCCAAAATGGTGAAAGTAGAAAGAAAAAAGGTGATTGAAAATGTCTTTCCAATTCGGAGGTAGATCCGATCCAAGTAGGTTGGATGTGAAGTCGGACCATTTAGAGAAACTATATGGACAAACAGAGTGAAGATGTAGTTTCTTAATGATTTAAGTAGTACATGATGCTGTAGTTTTTTGTGTGAGTGTTGGTTTCTAGAAGGTTTGAGAAGATAGGTTTAGAGCGTGTTTAGAAGATGAATCACGAAGGAAAAAAGACTTAAAGAGATTTGGAAGACTTGATGAAAATGGAAGTTTAATAAAAAAAAAGGAAAAGTGTAAAAGGAAAATTACTGTTTGTACCGGAGTTGTAACAACGAATAACTAAAGAATTTTTGGGGAGAACGAAGTGACTTCTTTATTAACGACGAACGAGATCGGTGAATTACATGATGCAAATG